CTGTCACTGCTGTATCTGTCATAGGGGAAACTTCTAGCAGCTTTGTTCAGAAGCCACCCCTGTAACCCCCCGCTACCAAAACCTTGCCCCGCACACACAAACCCGTTACATGTGCCTTGCAGAGCTATGGCTGAAAGGAGTATGGTTGTTCTTTAGTGCTTCAGGTTATTAGGCAATGGGAAGAGGGAGGTTAGTTCAACTCAAGGCAATGTTGACGCACAACCAAATATAAATTATTAATCTAGGCATGAAGTTAGAAGGTTTGTGTTCCCATTAGAGCAGAGAACTCAGGGGACAGCCTGTAGCTGGATCATTGGAAAGGGGAAGAAAACAAAATCAGCTTCTGCCCCAGGTGGTGGTCTAGGAAACTTGATCACAAAAGGGAAAGTACATAGAGTGGCAGTGACTTGTTGATACAGGGGTGTTCTTCCTGCTTTGGTGTTGCGATACAACAACAATGGGGAAATGAGATTACAGTTATTGATAGCTTGCTGGCAAGGGAGCATTAAGGATTTTTGTGTCTTCTCACACTGAACACAAATTACAGAAAGACAAAGTTTAAAGTTTTGTTTTTAAATTTCAATATGTAGATTTTAACATCATGTAGTTCCTGATGAGGTTGGTGATTGCGGTTGCTTTACGTGACTCTGTACTTAGCATGTTTCAGTAACAGTGCTAATTACAAGCTAAATACTGGTCTATTTTGAATGAGACACTTTTGTGAAAGGAAAACAGTTTTTGCATCCAAGTGACTGAGCTGTTTGCCCTTTTCTGTGCTCTTCACTCCCACTCTTTTGTCAGTGTCCCAAGTAGGCTTTCAGTAGTACTGCACAAGCTAGTATGGACCTAACCTGCACGTGGGAATGAAGAAACAGCAAATCTCTTATGCCATTGAGCTGTGAAAAGAGTGAATCTGTTGCACTGTCCTGTTGAAGCTGTGTGGGGCCTTGAATAGTTCAAATGCCTCTAAGTTTTAATCTGTGGTTGCAATAGGGTATATACTTTTATCGCTGGGAAAATTGGACAAGGATGCAAGTGTGTTAAATACAAAAGTGGGAAAGGACTTTCAGATTGCAGTAAGTCAATTTTTGTATCTCATTCTCTTTATTCTAGAATATTGTGGGTAATGCTAAGCCTAAGGAAAGAGGTAATGAGATTCTGTCATCTCCTGAAAAGCGGGAGAAATTTAAAGAACAGAGGAAAGCAACAGGTAATGCAAAGAAAGACAAGGATGAAAAGACATTAAAGACTGAGAAAAGAGTTAAGCAACCTGATAAAGAAGGAAAATTGATAGTCATCTCAGAAAAAGGCAAGGTCTCAGAGAAGAATATATCTAAGAATGGAAAAGAAGATAAAGAGAATATATCAGAGAATGATATGGAATATTCAGTAGATACAGAAATTGAGAAGAAGCCTGAGAATGACAATGTAAAGAGTCCACAGGAAAACGCAAAAGAAACTAAACGAAAGCGTGGAAGACCGCCGATAACACCTCCAACAGGTATGTAGCTGAATTTAAATGTTGAAGCCACATATCAAAACCTTTCTAAACTTACCTAAAGAAATGAAAAGTATCTTTCTCTTTCACAGCCTAAGTCTCTAGAAACTTGTAAAAAACAGTCAACTCACCTGTTGTTCAGGCTTGGTTAGGACAGCTGACAACAAACTTGTTAGTCAGGTTTGGAGCTTCAGTGGTTTGGTCAGAGATTAGATTTAGGTAAGTAATCCTCATATACTGTAAAACCTGTCTGCAGTATGATTAAATGCAGATATGTAGACTTCAGAAAGCCAAGTGAAACTGTATTTATGCAAGTACAGTATTTTAAGTTGTGAGGCTTGGGAATTTATGTTTTAAAGAATTTTGCAGCTTCATATCCAGTCAATTTTTGTTCTCTATCTAAATATATAGAGCAAAGTTCTCAGACACTGCAGCCCATAACTTTGGAGTTAAGACGTCGGAAAATACCCAAAGGAGGTGAAGTTCCATCGAAGCGTCCCAGGATTGAAAAAAACTTGTGTGAGTATTTTTTGTTACTCCACTCTCACAGTGGTTGTACATGTAAGTTCTTATAGCTTCATTGAAGGGGAAAAAAAAGTCTGTAGTATTAACTGTGATACATAAAATAGCTGAAATGCAGTACCTGTTTGTTTGGTTTTTTTCAAATTGGCTGTTGGTATGTAGCATTGTCATGCTGAAATTCCCTCCTAAGTCTTGGAAGCTGGGTTTGGGTAGAGGAGCCACAAGCTGAGAGTCTTGATGCAGAAGTTCACAGATGTAAGGGAGGCAGTGATTATATTGCTTCTGATATGCAGAAGGTTATAAAAGCCTTTTTCTAGTTGTAGAAACTCTGTAGTTACTAGATGGAGGATCTACCACGTTGCTTAGCAAAGAAACTTTAATAGTGGATAAATATTCATGCTGCTGCAGTCTAATAGCTTCTATTTCATCTTGATATACTGTGTAGTGATGTTCAAGAACTTGAGTGTGTGGATGAGGAAAGAAAATGATATTCTCTATAGTAGTGTCATGAACAAGGAGGTGAAGATCTGAAGAAGGCTGTCTTTCCCTTCCTTAGGACCACGAAGCCTTAAAACTTCAGTGTGCATATGTTAAACAGCTTAGGGTCGAAGTTGTCTAATTGTCTGTATAACTTCTGGTATTAGTTATGTCTGTGGGACGGTTGCTGTTTAAAGCAGTGTTTTACCAGTAAGATACTGATCTGTATTCTTACTTCAAATCTGTTACTAAAACAAAAAGTTGAGACACCTAGATAGGCTTTTGCTCTATTCTTCTGTTTATTTGTAATTGTTAATATGATTGCAGCTTTTACAGAGAGGTCTGATCACTGGGCCTTCTGCTATTAACCTCAGTCCTTAAAAAACACACTTTCAAATGGTCACTGGGAGGGGAGATCTTTAAAGATTGCTTGTGAGCTATTTAGTAATCCTGTAGCTGCATGGTACCATTACATTTGTCTGTTCCAGCTCAGGAAAAATTGAAGAACTCTCCAGATAACCCTGAAAGAGACCAGATCAGAAGACGATCTTCAAGACTCTCGTCTAGTATTAGCCAAGAGATTTTAAGTACAGATCACGTCACAACTTCAACAGAAATTCAGCCTTTGAAAGAGGCGGTATCTAACCAAAAGGAATCTGAGAAGGGTAAGCAGCTTCCTGATATACTTTGGATTTGTGGTGGCATGGCAGCCACTAGTTGTTGCAGGCACTGTATCTGCAATTAAAACCTGATTTCATCAGCAGTGCAGGGGAAACTCAAGGAAAGTTTATATCTCTCTCTGTGTTCTGATTGCCCTTTGCTTTTGATTCAATCTCCGTCAGTAGCCCTAGCATTTCCCTTGTGTGGTGGGAACTTTTCCAGTAGAGGGATAACTGGCCTTGCAAAAGGAGAGCTCCATAGGTTGTAAAATGATTTAAAGGAAATGTTGTGGTGCTTGGTTTTGTTTTCTTCTTTTAAGGGATGCAGATGATGCTTGTGAAAATGAGGTAATTGCAAAGTTTTAACGCTTTTAGATTGAAGAAGTAATCCAAATGCTAAACTTAGAGCTTAATCCTCTTGTTGAACACTAAAAACAGGATGCTTTTATTCTTAGACTGGGTGGAGATAATGCTCTCTCTTTCTGCCCTGTGCTTCACTGCCTTTCCCTTCCAGGGGGAGCTCTGGTAATGGTTTGAGGAGACCTGTCCCATTTTAGGCGATAAAGAGTTAGGAGCCTGTGTGTTTCTAAGCAGCTATAAATTTAGAGGGTTGCTGCAGGTAGCTGTGTTGTAAAAACTTAATTTTGTATTAATAGAAGAGCAAGCAGTCTGAGCATGGATGGATGTTTGTCTCCACTGTAACGTGATGAACACACATATCTGTGTTCTGGAATATGCTTCTGTGTGCATTTTACTGAATGAAAACTTTTTCCTCCATTCTAGTCCAGTTAGAAATTCCTTTTGAATCTGACCAAAGTTTCAGTGAACAAGGATCTCCTGGAAACACATCCCATAGCACAGCGCTTGGTACAGATGCCAGTTTACAGGAAGAAAAAGTTGAAGACACCGAGCCTTCCTCTCTTACTGTCAGAACTCAAGAACCTTCTGCTGCTACAGGTTCAAATTTTGATTTCATATTTGATATTGATGCTTTTCTGAAGGCAACTGATGCCAGGTGTTTCATCCTCTTACGAGTGTGGCTAACAAAAATTGTGTGCTATTACAATGTTAACCACGGGGGGAAATGCACATTTTTATTCCTTATGGACTCAGTTTTGATCTTATGCTTTGGAGATTGACAGCAATCTTCCAGAAAGTGGAAATCATAATTTTTAAATGACTGGGTGTAATATTTTTAGCATGTGAATGGTGAAGTTAACAAATGCTTGTTTTCAGGTTATAATTTAGTGGGTTTAAGTCTGGATTAAGTTGGACTAACATCTTAAAAGATCATGTTCTTTTATCACTTCTGTGTTGCAGGTATATGGTAGCATTGATGTTTGGGATTCGTGATTGTGCATTTCTATATCCTTATGTTTTAGCTTCTGTTATCCTTAAGCCCTAGGCTATTTAGAGGTTTTAGTGCAAGTTTATGAAATAGTTCAGACATGACATTTCAGTGTCTGTCTTAATAATGTATATATTCTATTTTCTCCTACCTGGGGAGTGCACTTATTTTGCTTTTCCAAATTAAAATTTCCTATACAGGTGGTAGACTATGCCAAAACAGTGCCATCCTGTGATTTTGTTGTAACTTGTAATACTTGTATGTGCAGGTAACTGGGGAAACTTGAACTACAGATACCCTAGTTTATGCTTTATCAGAGAAGCTTAATGTTAGGTGCAACAGAGCATTTAGAGGGATTTACAGTTGCTCAGTATTGCTGTAGTAATCTGTATGTGCTAGCTTTCATCCTGTTCATTGGTTATTCCAAATTTACCCCCCTGCTTGCATGTGTCCTCTTTCACCCGCTCTCATGTCACTGTACAAATGAAATGTCCTCTCCCTTTGCCACTGATCTGCACCTTCAGGGCAGGAAGGAATTTACCTCTTTTCCTTTGCTCAGATGTGCAAGTGGTCTTTTACTGTTTAAAAATTAGAGCTCTCTTGATCTAGCTCTCCTTCCTAACTAGGCTGATGATATATCCACTTGTATTCTACCTATGGTATATCCGTAGTCTTTTCAGCTGATGTGTGTTGGGACCGTACCTCTCCTTCCCTACATTATGGCAGTGAGTTCAGAAGATTTGGACTGGCTGTGGATTCTTTTTGCTGCTGTGTCCTCAGTGTGTAAACTTTTGGGTTTAACTTTTCTTAACTGTTGGGTTGTAGCTTGTTTTGGCTAATGAAGGCAAAACTGCTGTTTGGCTGTTGTACCTGAACAGAACATAAACTCTCTAGTGCCGAGGAAGTGCCATTCCTCTCTGTGTTAGCTCTGAGTACATGAGCTATTGATACTGACAGCCTGCCTGCAAATCTCTGAAGCAAAGGAAGGATGTAAAAAAGTGATGCTCCTTCCTGTGGCTACGAATTTGTTCCTCCCACTGTTGTAGCAGGTAGAACCAATTTAATATACACCTGAAAGTTCAAGTTGAATCCTTTGAGTAATTGAAGTGCAACGTTGCTGGTTTCCTTAAGTTCATGTGCTGACAACTGGTGAAGCTCCTCACAAGCACTGGTCAGGTACTGGTGTAACAGTCTGCCGTCCAGGTTAGCTAAACTGGTGCCCTGCCTGTTAGAAGCAATGTAAGCAGCTAGTGCTGTGCTTTGTAGCTCTTCCCTTTTGAATTTGAAGTTCCTCTCCTCCAAGATGCCCTTGAAACTGAACAGGCATCCCTGAATGTAGTTTTGTTAAGATGAACAGCCATGTCCTGTTTGCAGATTTTCACCCTGGAGTAGATTTTGCAAGGGTGGGGGGGGGGCTGTCTGCTGTAGCCGCAAAGGAACATTAATTTGTTTTTCTGCCTTCAGTGGATCTCTGGAAGATGTCCCTGGAGTTCTTAGCAGAAAGACTGCAGGCACTTGTGTCACTGGGAGTGCAAAGAAATGCTAAAAAGCAGTGGTGCTTCTGGAGTCTGGAATCCTGTGCTTCGTGCCAGCAGAAAGCGTGGTGGCTGGTGTGACCCCAGTCTTAGGCGTGTGAGAAGGTGTGCAGGTACAGGCATGGCTCCAGAAGGGTACAGGGAGCTGAACTACTCTGAGGTGGTGTGCAGGACTTGTACCTTAGAGACAGCTCTTCTAAGAGATATAGCAGGTCGTAGCAGTTTTAAAAACTGAAAGAATTTTTAGCATACCTGAAAATACTCACTTTTCAGCCTCAGACAAACTGTTTAATAGAAGGTATGGCAAAGCTTTCCACTACAGTGGATACAGTCACCTTTTGGACGTGCTTTATGTAGGAAAACAGTATGATGAAATGTTTTTAACTTGATCTTGCATGGCAGACTTGCTGCATTTCTTAAAGTGTGGTGGGCTGTGTTTTTTTTAGCTGACAACTATTTAGCCTTTTGTTTTGTAAATTCCTGCGAATTTTCGTTTTGAAGTGTAGTGTTTTTAAGATGACACATCTTTTGTATCCTCTTTTGGAGGTACTCATTGAACTACAGATTGACAAACCACAACTTTGATAAGGTCTGAGAATTTGGAGAATGGTAAATCTTGGCTTTTTGAAAGAAAAGTGTATTAACAGTACGGAAAAACTGTGTTAATGGTTAGATGTTCTTTCAAACAGTTAATGCAGTGTAAAGAAGGCATGTCCTGCCATAGCCTTTGTAAAATAATCCAGAAGTAGTCATGGAATATTCTCAAGAAATAAAGGGAGATTTTGCTTGGTACCATAACATGTGTAATCACAAAGCTTTGGGCTTAGTGGTCAGACACTGTTGAAAAATGACTCCTGCAAGGGCATCTGTTTTCTAACTTAAGTACTCATTTAGGATGCGAAGCTTTTCAGGATGTTTCACAGTGTCTTAGTTTCAAGTAACTATGCCATCACAGGCATTTTAGAAGTTTTTACTGGTGTACGTGAACTGGGATGTTGTTGTAGCTGTGTGGTCATCCTCAGAGAAGGCTTCTTTTAAAAAAAGGAGTTTGGGGAATCTGAGTTGAGGGCTGTAATGTAGTGAGAGCTAGTACGTACTCAGCAGTATGCGTTAGGGGTTACAGGAAACAAATCACTTCTAGTGATACGAAAGAACAAATAGACAAAACAGGCTTCGTTGTGTAAAAACGTTACTTCTCTGTGTATTTGTTGCTGATGGGGAAACTTCTTCCAGTTTAGGGAAATGATGGACAGATTTAAGGATTTAAGTTAAACTGAAACACCAGCAGATTTTTTTTTTTTTCTCTACTTGTGTACTTACATTCTGATTCAGATTACAGATGCAGTTTACAACTGCCTTGGTTTATCCCCTTGCACTTGTATAATATGTGTTGGGGTGAGCTGCTGTGTTTATAAGGGAGGAAGCAGGGAGAGGAATTCACTTGTACACATGAAATTTATAAGGTACTATGCTCAATTCTGCTTTTTCAGCATTTGGGGAGCATAATTTTGGCAGCATGGAGATGGGGCAGGACACCAGTACAGTCCTGGTGTGCAGCTGAACCATTGGGAGTTCAAAAAAAGCTATGATCCCTTTGGATACCTTTTGCCTTTATTGCCACTTCCCACTGAATTCCTACTATATATATTGCTGAACATTTGTAATTTGGGCTTAAAACTGGGGAGAATTCCAGCTGAATGTGTAATACCTCCGTGTGTGATGTCAGTCATGCTGATGTGGCCTTCTGAGGTTGCTTCGCTGGATACAAGCAGTCAAGCTGTGGGAATGTGACTTGGTTCACTGGCCTACCCAAAGCCTCTGGTACAGCTTGTGGGCTCTTGTCGCTGGCACTTCTGCGGGTACTTGAGTCAGCTGGATTAAAGTTAATCAAGCGGTAGGCACTCACTCTGAGTTCTGTCCTGAAGGTCAGCACTGTGGTGGTGTCTCAAAAGTCATGCTTCTGAGCGAGAATTTGCTCCATTTAATTGAAGCCATCTCATTTAACAGCAGAAATGCCAGACATACACCTAGGTGGACATCCAGATGTGGTAAACAGATGTTTTTATTGGAGAAAAACCTTCAGGATGAGGAATAAGAACTGTACAGGGTCTTTTTGAGTAAATGCTGTCACTTGAAACCCAAGTACAAAAATCTACGTTTCCATATTTAACCAACGTTAAAAATGTTATTAAGGAGTGGTTTGTTGATACGAGAGTTTCAAAATCCATAGATCCTGTTGTGGATAAATCGTCTGTAGTTACCAGGAGATCTGTGTTTCCCTGTACGTGCTCCTGTTGTACTTGTGGGATCGTGCCTGTATGTGCCAGTGCCGACAAGCTGCCCGAGGGCTTGGGCTTTCACCTGGGAGCAGCTTGTGCGCAGCAGGCGAGAGGCCTCTTGGGTGGGATCTGAGAACCGATCAGATCACCAGTGGCTTCCCGCTCTTGCGGGCAGGGGTTGTTAGAGTCTGAGCATGCTGTCCTAAAAAGACCTGGTGCTGTAGGCTGAAAACTGAGTTGACTTATTTCGTGGGTAATTATCAAGGGAGCAGGTGGACATCTCTCCAAGTACTCATAACTGTGTGTCAAGCGGTTATGTTCCCAGGCTGCCCATGTGTATTAGAGATTCAAGGTTTGGAAAGGGGAGAAGTATGTTGTCAGAGCAGGTTGTGTGGGTGGAAAAAAGGAGTGTTTCTTCCATACAAGTTCCCACAAAATAAAGCATGGAAGCCAAGGTCAGGGGTAACTTCTCAGACTTAGAGTATGTGCAACGTTCTAACCCAGTACTAACTTTTTTTATTTGCTTGTAGGCTTCTAGTCACAAGATGGGTATTCATTCTCTTCCTGTAGGAGAATACTACAAAACATGATGAAATTAGTAACCTTCATTTTTTTCAGTGTGGTGTATTAGTGGTTTTTTGTCATGGGTGAGTGGTGCAGCCTGACAGTACTAGTTTTAACTTGCATGGTGTATAGGAAGAACATGATTTTTATATATTTGAATATCAGGAATTTTGAGAAGACCGCTCTTTTTAAAAAGTGTTTTCCCAGTCACTGGTTGGTAGATAATTCAAGATTTGTACTAGTTGCAGACATTTGTAACAGCAAATACCATTTGGAGTGTTGACATGCTTGTTATGTTTTAAAACTTGTATGTCTAATGTGATCTGAAAGGGCAATATAGCATTGCTTGTCAAAACTTAAGTTCCTCTTTTAAAATTTTCAGAAAAGTTCTGATTAATTACATTTACTAGAGGACAAAAATCCTCTTCTCTGATTTTTGGCTCCCCTAATGTTTAGGGACCAGAATTAGTGATTAGGGTTTCACTAAATCAAGTTGTCTTTCGAAAAAGCAGGTGGCAGTCTGTTGGCAAATTTTTGCAGCCAGTTAAAGCTCTGTTTTGTGTATCTGAAAACAGGCTTAGAAGCACTCTACAGCTGTTCATGTGGTTTACTCTTATACAAACTGATTTTGACTTTAAAGGTGAGGCGCCTTTGCTTTGTACAGATCTGCTACAGTGTTTGTAGCTGTGTTTCTCAGAACTCTCAAGGTTACTTTTTTTTTTATTTGCATAGACATGCATCAGGGATTCCATTTGTCTTACACTTACCACGGGTTTTTCTAATTTTGTCACTTTTAGCTTTGGGTTTCAGTTAAGGAGAAACATGTTACCTTTGCAGCCAGTCTGAGGGAGCAGCTGTTTATCTTGCAGCTTACCTCAGTAGGCTTTGATTCTTTCAAGGTAGTATAAAAATTGTCACTTTAAGCCTGACGGTGTAGTATGTAAAGAAGGCCATCCTGCCTTGCTCACTTAGTTTCTTATAGCTAGGTGCCACGATCTGTATGCCAGTGTTTCAGTTATGCCTCCAGTAGAGGTGCAGCCTTGACGTTCACCCAGCTGCTGGCCCCCTCTAAAGGTACACTGGGGATGGCACAGCAATGCGCTGCAGGCTCACAAGCTTTTCCTGCAGCAGGGACGTCTCTGTTTCTATTGTTACACATGTAGTGTCAGCACAGGGAGAAAATGGCGAGTGGAGGATCGCATGAAGTACTGTCTGGAGCAGTTCTTACAACATCAAGTCATGCTTCCCGCTCAGAAATCACAGCTTTGTAAACACGTAATGATCTGTGATTATTGATGCCGTGGGCATTTATTACAGCAAGCATCTACTTGAGTGGATTCTGGATGCACTGGAAATGCTTGAATGCTGTCCTTGCCTAAAATAGTTTGAGAAGTGCAATTAGGCAGTATGTTGTTTCACAACTGAGATCTTGAAAGACAGAGCTTTTGAAAATAAAGGAAGAAGCATAGATTGGGTGCTGAAGTGATGAACAGGAACATTTTTGGTGAGCTCAAGAAAAGCACCACAAGACTTCAGAAGAAATAAGATTAAAGAAATAGGTAATTACAAAGCTAGCCCAATGGTGTGAAATGATCCAAAGCACCGTGTAAAAAGTGTCAGCTCAAGAAAGGTGATGGTAATAAACAGATGATCTTGAAAGTACTACAGGTGGAGACACTGGATAACATGTATTCTGGAGAACTTGATGTGTTAGTTTACCAGCAGGTGAAGGAGCAATTTGATCTTTGCTTAATACTTCTGTGGAGACCAGGAAATAGAGAGTAGAAATCTCATCAGTTTAACAGGCAACTGTGTGTGAAGATCCAATGGCCAGAAACTGCAGCGAGGCCAGCTTTAATTGGAGGAGAATGCTAAGTGTTACGTGCACTGTTGGCTTTCTGGGATAGCTTACCCCAGTGTGTTGCAGAAGATGTTCCAGGGTGGCAGACCTTCAGTCAAGATGCTGTGCTGCTGCCAAACATTCCTGTCCCAGCAGGAGTCAATTCAACAAAGAATTGGCATGGAGGGGAAATCTCTTGTGGACACAGAAGCTTCACATGGTGACATTTTACTGTAAACTTACTGCAGAAACTGGTCATAGCTTGAACCTTGGATAATGCAGCACCATGAGAAGTGAGAGAGGTTGCTGACTGGTACACTGAACAGGTATTTTTTTTCTCTGTACTGAAAGTTAAAGGAGCTGCTGTTGTTTGACCTTGAGTCTCTGTGCTTAATATCGTAATGGCTAACTGAATGCCAGGTGAGGAGTTTTAATTTTGGTTATAAACATGGAAGAAATAGCAGGTGGTAGGTCTGTCATTAATGTTCTTCTGTACTTGGAGAAAACACCCACCAAGGTCCTCTGAAAAGGCAAGTGCCTGAAAGTCTGAAGCTAATACAGCGAAACTTCCTCTCCATAGAAACCAGTCTTAGTACCGTCTGTTGAGAGCAAAAATTGTATATCTGTGTGAGGATGGAAGCTGCCCCCTTTAGATGTTGGTGTAACGAATGGCTTCAGAGCTGGGAGGCCAGGCTCTTCAGAGGCTCTCCTGGGTGACGGAGTTGGGCATCAGCTTCAAGCTGTGCCCTGCAGCAGGGAGTTCTGGTGTGCTACTTGTAGGGAAGGAGAATGCCCCCCAAATGTGGTGGTGAAGAGAATAATTTAAGCTTTATTCCAAACTTTGTGGGATAGGCTCTGAATAGATTCCTTCTGTGTGTTGCAGTATGTGGGGGGTTTTTTGGTCTGCTTTCCTTCCCCTTACTGCAGAGACTACAGAGGTCTTTTTTACCTCTGTTTCTAAACTCCAGCTAACATAGTCCTGTGCTCCTCTTCTAACTTGTAGTTGATCAGTTGGAAGCTGTTCCCTGTATCTTCTCCAGAATTTGTCCCATTTCAATGGAGAGGAAGTGTTCTGACCTTGGATACAGGGCCTCCTCATGGCAGTTGTGTGATAGTACAAGAGCTTCTGTTGTCATCTTTGTAATACTTTTTGGCTAAATCTTCAGACCCCCTTCTGCTGCAGTTAAGTTTTCCCATCTTTGTGTTAGTTATTAAATAGAAACAAGTTCTCTTTCATTGTCCTGAATGCTGGTTTTTAGCTTTACAGTAAAGAGAACCTTTCTGCACTTGCTTTCGCTAAACCCACGGGCCATTTCACTGACTGTTCCTGAAATGCTTTTTCATTCTATATGGATGCAACTTTTGATGGTGTACAGTGTATTTCGATTTTGGTATTGGCAGACTTCATAATTCTGCAAGTGTGATCCAGTTGTCTGGCTTTGTGGCAGTCTTTCTACTATAATTGCTGAAGGCAGCATCACTGTCAGCATGTTCTTAGTATGGCTATGCCAAAATGTCTTTCTCTTTCTCCTTGTCATTGTCTTTGTGAAACACCCAAAAGCAGTCTCTTAATTTTTACTGTTTTCTTCTCAAAATTAACTGAATATTCTTTGTTTTAACCAGTCTGATGTGCATGTGACTTCTTAATCCTTCCCTGTCATCCACTTCCATAGTACCATTATTTGTTTTTTCTCTATGAATGACTTCAACTTCTGTTTCTTTGTCGTAGCACAGTGCTTACACTGAGTGTGCTTCAGACATGGCCATCTAGGATGCTTTTCTTCACTAGGACATAACCTGAAGTTGGAGCTCAGTAACACTCACTGTTTTTGTTACCACATGCTAAAAGTTTCTGCACAAGCTGTCCTGTGCTCTTACACCAAGATCGTGTTGACGCTACCTTTAACACTCCCATTCAGTGCATTAAAAAAAATGTGGAAAGTCTTACACTTTCTGCACTTGTTCGTGTTTGTAATGTTTCTGGTCCTTTTGTGTTCCTTGTTTTCAGCTACTAACGTGATGTCTGAATTTTCATTCATGTGCTGCCAACCTTCAGTTTTGCATCGCTGTTTCTAGGTCTGGGTCTTAGCTTTAAACACTTCTTTCTTAAGCTTCCAAGTTTGAAAATACTTGTAAATATGAAAGTAATACTTTAGTACTGGCAAAACAAGTGGAAAAAATAGATTTGGAAGCTGCTTTGTAAAAATGACACCTGCTTTCTGTTGTAGTCTAGCTGGCGAGGGATTTTTTCATGCTGTCTGCGTATTAGTGGTGGATAATTGCCTGGGTCTCTGTGTGTTTCCAGATTTCTGCCTCTCCTCTGTTGTACTGGACACAGATACTGGTGTCACTAATCAGATTTACTCTTAGTTCAAAAAGTTTCTTTTGTGTAGTTCTTAGTAAAAACATGAATTAAAGGTTTCTGAAATGCTGGAAGAAAAAATAGGAATCTTCTGGGTCAAGTTTAGGTATAGCCCTGGGTTGCACAGCAGTGCTCTGTAAACAGATGCCTTAAAATGTTCTTCCACTTGAGTCACAAGACTTCCTTTGCTTTTTTTTTTTTTGAGAAACTAATTAACTGTAGCTCATTGTAACAGATGCAAGCAATTTTCCTTTTGCTTAGTTTCATTCTTTAACTGCTGCTTGAAAATTGAAATAAACTTTAATTTTACTTGAAAAATGTAGTTCTGATATACTGTTCTGTTGTTCTTGGAAGTTACTAGACTTTGGTGGTAGGACAAGGCATCCAGAAAGCAGTGAAATAGTTATAAGCAAAGCAGCAGAGCTGTTTTCCTTGGAGAGTGCTTTCACCAAAGATGTGAATAGTTATAAACAATTGATAGAATATAATCTTCGGTGTTTTGACTAAAATACACAATTGCTGTGTAATTCAGCCTTCTATCTATAGTAGCACTATATACAGTGATACTGGCTGTTGGGCAAGGGACTCATGGAAGTGAAAGGTCACTTTATGACAATAGCTCATTCATAAAACCACTGGTGTCGTGACAACCAATTTTTAAGAGCACAGTAGGGCAGAGTTTCCCCTTAAAAGCTATTGATTTTAAAGGCAGATGCAGCATTAGAATTTTGTTTTTAGCATTTCATAACTAACACCTTTGCATGCCCATTTCTAACTTTTTTTGTTGTTTTAAGTTTAGGAAGCCATTTAATAAATATAGCAAATGCATGGGGGAATTTATCTGTTTTGTTCTTACAGTAACAAAACCTTGTAGGAGAGCAGTTTTTCTTGCATCAAAACCAGCTGCAACTGTTGATCAAGATCACAAGTTTAGATGCAAGTTCTTGGACTGTTCAAAATCCTTTCGCAAAGCCAAGCTATTGCATTATCACATGAAATACTTTCATGGAGTGGAGAAGGCTGCAGAATCACAGCAGAACCCTGTAAAAAGAAATATTCAAACCAGAGCTTCTTTGGCTTCTGAAAAAGCTAATCAAGAAGGGTCAAAAAGAGGATGGACCACAGCTGGTTCATTGTGTAAGTATGTTGCTGATCTCTTCCTTTTTTTAAACAGCAGCAGGCAGGACAATCAGAAAGAGCAGAAATTAATTTTCTTTTGGGCTGAAGGAGTCTCTTTAGGGTTCCATCTCAGCATATTTCTTTGTGGAGAAGCAGCATAATATGTGTGAGCATTAAGTTTCAGAGAAGATAAAACTGAAGAAATTCCCTCATCTGGAAATACAGAATTTCACATTCTCTAATGAACAGACTATAAAGCTTCTCTTACTCCCTTTGTAACAACTCACTTGAGTATTAAACCTTTGCTCTTTTTTCAAAACTACAGTTCCCAGAGTTTCTGACTTCAATTTGTCTTTTCCCCCTGCTTGACAAGTATCTAAATAGTATTGTTCAAAGACTTTTTGTCCTTTTCTATATGAAGGAGGCAGTCTGGGTAACTGCAGTTCTCTTCTCTTTCTTACTGGGTCTTCACATTCACGGTCTGACTTCAAGGGTATGCTTGGCTAGAACTCCGGTACCAGTTGCTGCAGTATTTACTGTTCTCATTGCTGGACCTGTGGGGGGAAAAAAGCCCCAGTGTTTAACAAATGCAGTTGCTACAGCTGTGCCTGAAAGAGCCTCACGCAACTGGTGGGAAGTTGAAAGGGATAAAAACGTGGTGGTTAGGGGAAACCCCCCCCATGCTTAAATTGTAACTGCTTTGCAGTCTTTGGAATCACATTAACTTCTGCTTCACAGTCTCATTCCCTTCATTCTTTTTCCTAATGTCTTGGCATAACATCAGAGTGGCAATCTAGGTCCAGTTGTGAACTGCAGTGTTGTTGATAACCTATCCAAGCTTTGTTCTTGTGGACTGACTTCTCTTTGTACTTAAAGGTCCATAAAAGTTGTCATCTCTTTTGTCTGCTGATTGAGCCAGTTTTATAAAATCCAGCTTTCTCTTTGCTGAATTCCCTGGTGTTTTTTGTCTTTGCATTTGATCTTTCATTAATATTCTGTGTAAGAATTTCAAAGTCTTGCAAGTTGTTCACTGAGCAACAGCTCACGACAGCAGAGTGTATCTAGCCTTACTTTGCTTTGTGTTTGCTTTTCCTAATGTATCCAGCAGCCTCTTCATTTGAGGTGCTACTGCCTGTTCCTAACAAGATAAGTGTGAGTCAACGTACTGGTACTACACGTAAACTTTTATACCCTGAATACTTCTGTAGCTTTAAATACTACAAAGGCATAAGATTTGATTGGGTAGAGGAGGATTTTTCTTTAGATGTGCTTGGATGTGCCAACTTGTGTGTATTATACTTCACATGCAGCTTAAATGAAAGTGAAGTACTTGACAAACACACCTGAGATGAGCGCTTTCTGAAGAACGGCTGCTGACTGCTGCACAGTGATCAGAACAGGCTTCTTGCATGTCACGGGCCTCTTCATCAACAACCTTCTCCTCTGCTTTTTGTAACTGCATACTTCTTTCAGTTGTTTTTCTGTGATTGTCTTGAATGACCTAGTGACTCAAGATCTTTATCCTTTCACTTATCCTTTCTCCCAAGTGCACAATGTTGGTGTGATGTCATCACCTTGGCAACACTGGCAGGTAATTCATTATGGTGTTGAGTTGTAATCATATTTGCTAATTTTAAGGCCCCACACCTTTCCTTCCCCATCTGTGGATGGATGCTTTTAACCAGGATTGTTCTGATGGCGTGCTTCATAGCATATCCCTGCAAACAGCCCCTGGATTGTGCTGGCAGCTGGCAGTTGAATGGTGCATCAAGGTGGACCCTAAAGTTTTCAAGTCGCCTTCACTGTCAAAGCTTGCTATTATGGAGCTACAGTAAGGTTTTTATTGATGAGGAAAAGTAATGTCCTTATATTCCAGTTCTGTCATATGTCTGATAGTAAGTGCCATTTGGTTTTTAATGTGTTCTTAATTCTTCTGATTTTTGTTGTGGGGGTACCACATGTTCTAAAGTAGAACAAATTTGGTTTATGAGATCATACTGTTGCATTTTGTGCTCTGTTCTCCTGTCTTTTTGCAAGCATCTCTTCTGTTCTTAATGGAATTCATGTATAGCAAGACTTTCTCCATGTCTACTGAATACTTTTATGTCATCTTTTTGAAAGCCTTTTCAGGATGTACTGCTTAGTGACATACGTAGGTATGGTACCTGGTGGGTGTACTTTTCATCTTTATAATCCTGTTGTGAGGAAAAATTCTCCTTTTCAAAGTGAATATATTGAAATCATTTTACTTTGTGTTACAAATGTCCTTTTCTAATACTTTGCTATATTAGTTTGGTTTTAGTGCTTAACAGATAAGACTTAAGAATAACAAGACTCATGATTTCTAAAGCTTGGAGGAAGTCTTGCTTTAGAAGTTTTATCACACTTAAGTCATCTCAAGTTTTAATTTGGAGTTCTGGGACTCCTTACTGTTTCTGCTATACATTAAATAAATAAATGCTAGGGGTGGACTGTTGCCTACTGTTCCTAAAGTTCTAGGAAATTATGCAATATTCAGAACAGTAGCAAAACCTTTTTCTTGTAGTGCTTAAAATTAGAATTTCAACACATAGAAAAGATGGATGTAAGTCATCTTCAGTGACCACGTTGTGGGATGTAGGAGAGAACAATTTAAGTATAATTAGTTTTCTCTAAAGTGGAGACTCTGAAAGTTCAACATCTGAAACATAGTGTGCCACTTGGCATTGGCTTCAAAACTTGAATGAGCTGGAAAGGTTAATGTGGAACTGATTTGTCCTGCCTCTCCCTTTTCCCGAAGAAGGATCTTACCTTTGCAGTGGCAAATTTGAGGTGTCTCTAAATTCTGTAGTGGCTCTTCATTGAACAGAGGAGGAGGAACTGCTGTTGCCTAGCCTGTATTTTAGTCATGCCTTACTGCTCTGAACAGAGCAATGCAGGCTGAAACGGCTACTGGATGCATTCACGCAATAAGTCTTCTCTTTAATTTATCAGGCAATAAGTCTTCTCTTTAATTTACCAGGAAATACTATGAGATGGTTATCATGAAACAACTTTTCCCCCAGCCCCGTGTTATACTACTTACATCCATGAGTATTGCTGCTCTGGTCTTCACTGCAAGAATTGTCCTTTTAGGCAATAAGGCAGTTGATTTTATGTCCTCCTGGAATATAGGAGACACAGGCATTTCTACCCTCAGCTCTTCGGTTGCATTGCACCTCTGCAGGTACGTTACAGAGCCACCTGCAGCCCTTCTGTTACAGAGGAGAATCAAGACCTGCACAAATGTATGTGGATACATAAGCTTAAAACAAGCTCTAAGAGCATAGCCTGCAGATGGCGTCTCAAAGTCTGTCTTGCAGGTGAGAGTTGCTTAAGTTTTTAACAGTTCAAATTGAGATGTTCTATCAAATTTATCACTTGGAAATTGAACGTAGTGTAGTATCTGTTGAAATTTTTGGCAGCTAGTTACTTGTTGTTTGCTGTAATGAAACGAGTAGAACCACATTCCATGTTCATACGCATTAACCTTAAGGTGGGCTTTTTAATTTGTGGTCCCTTCTCTTCCTCTGCACAGTCGCTGAGTTTACTGTTGAATTGTCATCCCATACTGTGACTTGTGCTCTCCTGTCTATGTTTAGCCCGTATCTGGGTCTAAACTATAACAGTTGCTCTATCACCCGATGACCCCTCACCAGCCAGGAATGGGAACCTGGAAAAGGAGAGGAGACCCATGGGTTGAAGTGAAAACAGATTTAATGAAACTGCAGTAATACCAACAGAGGTGTACAAAGTTACACTCACCCAAATGAACATGCAGTAGTCACAATCGACAGGAGAGCGGTCCTCAGGAGCAAGGAGAAGCCAGGAGGGGAGCAGGAAGAGGAGAGACTCCAGCCAGACCTCCAGCAGGAACCCCAGAGGAGTTTTCTGTCCTCAGCAGACCTTCCCCCTTTATAAAGACCCTGACAACATGATATGGGCTATGCCTGTAGCTAACTCAGGTCATCTGCCCTGCCTGACTTGAAACTGCTAGTGGCCTGCCTAGCATGGCTGGGCAGGGATTCTGTCCCAGCCAAAGCAGGACACCTGCACTTACTGTAAACAACTTCCTTGAAGGTGTCGGTTTTCTTCAGATATGTGTGTCTGTCTTTTATTTTATGTGAGGTGCCTGCAAAAGGTTATTTTTATTAAAGTTTGTTGTTGCATTCTCTGTACCTGCAACTCAGAATTTGAACATCTTGACTTCGAGTCTTTCTGATTTGGTGGCTTTCATTTCTTAGTAAAAACTTCCATTTTGAGATTCAGCAAAATTTAGTTCATTCCCTTGTGTTGAACAATTTTTCTGAAATATGATGGTCAACTTGTGCCAGACTTCAGTGTTTGCACAGCTGATGCACCTCATGTCAGACCTTGAAGAGGCTCTGTACTTGTAGGTACTGAAGGTTTGGCAGGCAATTCTAACCTTGTTAGATGTGAACAAGTAGGGGAGCTGATACATATGTGCAAGGAAATACCATCAAAGCCTTTACTAAAGTGGCTGGTGTTCTCTGAATGCTCTTGGTGACCACTTAGTAGTGCTGATAGACTTGATACTGCCCTCAGCACAGCTGTTGTACTGGCAGGGACTTCATCAGTTGGTACGCTTATGCTCCTGGGACGTAGTTTAGTTCCCCTGAGGAGTCTTGCTCTAATAGACGTTAAAGCTGATTTTGAGACTTTAAAAATGCTGTGCAGTATTAGGTTGCAGTTCTGGTATGTAGGTGTATAATGGCTGCTTTAGTCTGGCAAGCTGCTGCCAGTCTTGGCTCTGCTGTTCTCCTTGCCACGAGGAAGAAAAGAAAGCAGCAGACCTGTGATTTGTAGTTCAGAGACTGTAGAAAACCTGTCCCTGCTGAGGAGTCCATAAAAGGTACTTGTAAAAAACATGTATTTTGTCAGTAGGTTTAAATTTTTGTACGTGACCTCATTGTTAGAAATTTTTTGCCTACACAAAGTTAGGTACAGCATGTCATGTTAATACCCAAGTGTCTTAATGC